AATCCCACTATTCGATGGTAAAAGAGTAGCCTAAGGGTTAGCGGTGGGTGGTGATGACTACGAAGACTCTTCCTGTGCTTTTAAAAATAGGAAATATAGAAAAAACATATCAGGCTTGAATATTAAGAGATCATTACAATAAGCTACACTTTATATGCCTGGTTTCCACAACAACAAATAAACGTGTGTAAAATTGACATTATATTATATACCCGGTCATAGCTATAATATTACAAACTTTGTATTATCTATACTAAAATTCGTATCGAAATAGGATAGATAATATTTATTTACATAGGTAGTGCTAAAAAATGAATTTCTGCTTGATTACTCTAGTCTTTCGAAAGCTAAATATATATGTTATCGTCTTAAAACAAGCTATTAATCTTCGGGCCAGATGACAGGGAAGTGGAAGGTGATGGTGTTGACTCAGTAAACGAAAGGACAGGAAAGACTATAGCGATCCATCATTCTGTAAAACAGAAAATGTAGTGGATTATTTGTTATTATTTTTTACGGACGAAATAAAAATAAAATGTGTAACAATTTTCAATACATGCAGCCGTTTAGTCATAAAATGACTTCTGTACGATTTGTAATTCAAGTGTTTTATATTACGAGTATTTCACCATAAGCACTTTATCTAGAGCTTCGAGAGCAGTGGTTTGATGTGTGTGTGTGGGGTGGGGGGGGGTTACCCATGAAGTCTTCGATTTTTCGAGGCAATCGTGCATGTGCTATCGGAATGAACAGCATTCGATTTTTTATAACTAATTTTTTTGTTAATTTTTTAAGTTTCCTTGCTTTATTAATCTTATTTGTTGGTTTTTACATGAAGAGGCTCACTTCAAGGATAAAAAGACGCTTATATTTTTTTTCACCAGATTATAGAATGAAAGGAATGTAAGTAAAGGAAAAGTTTATCTTAAATATCAGCACAAACCTTGACGCACTGAACTATTGCGAATCTAATGATTTCTCTGTTGATTCATTCCTTTGAAATGCGAACAAAAATTTCTCTGTATTTGTCAGCAGGTAAGTAACAATTGGAAGAAAATGAAAAAAAAATCAAGTGTCAATTTCATGTTGGTTACATGATTATAAGAATCAAAAATTATTGAGTCAGTTTCTGGTAATTGAAGCTCAGATTTACCCTTACGTCTTCAAAAGCGTAATGATCGCCCATTCTATGGGCCTACCTCACCTAAGGTATGCTGATATAAGTATGAAAAATAATTAGTATCAAAATATACAAGTTATTTCATCAAGATCATAAATTCTGACCCAAAACCACGTAGAATATGATAGAAAAATTACTCCTAGTGGAAATAATAATATGGCATTCCACGATTGTCGAGTAATGACGTAACGTATCTTTATGTTGAAGTACATATCACAAAAGTCTTTATTTCTGTGAAACTAAAAAAAGTGACTAAAGATAACTTCACTCACTGAAAATTGTTTTATAAAGTGACGTTAAAACTATACATAAGATACGTTGTGGGAGGACAAAACTAAAATATGTATCTACACGTATAGCCCGAAATTCCAGAGGTTTGATCCAGAATTTCACCACAACAGCTCCGAACATGCTCGAGAAGTTTATTTCAAAGAATATTAAGCGACTTAATATTATTTTGTTAATAGCGAATGTAATCGTTACCATCATTAAGTTCTGGTAGTTGTTAAGCACAAAACTACACAATGGGTTATCTGTGCTCTGCCCATTACAGGTATCGAAAGCCGATTTTAAGCGTCATAAGCCCGCTGACTTACCGCTAAGCCACTGCGGGGGGGGGGAGTAGTCACAATTAAGTGGCAAATATCTAATTTCTTGCGCTTCTTTACGACGAAAGACATTAAGTACTTTCCTAGTCAGACTGCCCCCAACTTTTTTTCATGGCTGTGGAACTGGTGATATATAAATGTTTTCATTCTATATTTTTCACACCACATTGTTTGCCTGAGACACGCCTATTTGGTGTAGTATACAAACTGTGTAATTCAGCTGTCACATTGTTATGTTCGAATCCAAGATTTTTACGCGAAACTAGTGTTAGGGTTTATGAATAACTCTAGCATGGAGAGATGATTTCAGTTTAGTTTCTTTTCCAAAAAATGATGGAGCTCGAACAGATCGTTAGAGTAAATACGCATCTTTCATATTTTAAATACGTTTGCCACTTCTCTTTCTTCTATATGTATCGATTTTAGCTTTTTCCAGTCAATGATTTTAGTAATGTGTATATGACAATGTTAATGTTTTTTGTTTTTTTTTAGAATGTAGGTTGAATGGGGGTTCAAAGTTTAATTTATTTTCTAACTTAGTAGTTCTCATACATTTTATGCGGCACCCCCTTATTTTTGTCTGGAGCATTTAACGTCCCCCATAGGTATATATACCGGGAAAAATTAAATATTCCACTACCGGTAAATATTAAATACTGTGTCCTCCCCCCCTCCCCCCCCTCCCCCACAGGTATACATACCGGGAAAAAATAAGTTACTCCACTACCAGTAAATATTAAATATTGTGGTGCACCACAGCTTTAACCAGGACAACATGAGAACCTTTTTATTGGAGCTGAGCAATTCCTTCCGGGACTTGAAAATGGCTTAAAACATGTGGAAGAGAACTTCGTCCAATAATATGCAAGCTAAAAAAAGGCACCAATCAGATACACAGCGCCATCTTTCTACATGACAGCAGGCGTCAACATTAAGTTTGCCCAACTTTATAAACACAGGTAAAGAAGTGTACAGTTTCTTCGTGGACCTTCTTACGCTCCACCACACTCCCTGGGAAGCTCTCCTCAGTTCGAGAACCACTGTACTCATTTTGAAAGAAGATACTTGTTTGTTTGTTTTGAATTTCGCGCAAAGCTACACGAGGGCTATCTGCGCTAGCCGTCCCTAATTTAACAGTGAAAGACTAGAGGGAAGGCAGCTAATCATCACCACCCACCGGTAACTTTTGGGCTACTCTTTTATCAACGAATAGTGGGACTGACCGTCACATTATAACGCCTCCACGGCTGAAAGGGCGATCATGTTTGGTGGGACGGGGATTCGAACCCGCGACCCTCAGATTGCAAGAGAAGATACTTTGAGTTTAGTTTCAGAAGCCCCGAAAGTTATCAATAGATGACAAATGATCGTGCTCTAAATTCCAAACCCTCGTCCATGAAAATATTTAGTGCAAATAATACGACTTATTTAACTTTATAACTAAATATTAAATTTTGGTTGAAATAAGTAGATATTAATCTCGAAAGAGAAAAATCATAATGTGTATCCTGTATAGCCTGTTGTTATCTCGATACCATCAATCTCCTACTATGTGACACAAATATTACACAACACCGAGTGTATACAGATGCTACAGAACATCGTGTAAATACAAAATGTGAGACAGATATCACATAACATTGTGGAAGTACTCAACACGATACAAATATCACATAACATTGTGGAAGTACACAACACAATACAGATATGACAGAATACTGTGTAAGTATACAACACAATACAGTTATGACAGAACATTGTGTAAGTACATAAGATGATACAGGTATCACAGAACATTGTGTAAGTATACAACACAATACAGTTATGACAGAACATTGTGTAAGTACATAAGATGATACAGGTATCACAGAACATTGTGTAAGTACATAAGATGATACAGGTATCACAGAACATTGTGTAAGTACACAACACAATACAGATATGACAGAATACTGTGTAAGTATACAACACAATACAGTTATGACAGAACATTGTGTAAGTACATAAGATGATACAGGTATCACAGAACATTAGTGTAAGTACATAAGATGATACAGTATGACAGAACATTGTGTAAGTACACAAGATGATACAGGTATCACAGAACATTGTGTAAGTACACAACACAATACAGATATGACAGAATACTGTGTAAGTATACAACACAATACAGTTATGACAGAACATTGTGTAAGTACATAAGATGATACAGTTATGACAGAACATTGTGTAAGTACACAAGATGATACAGGTATCACAGAACATTGTGTAAGTACACAACACAATACAGATATGACAGAATACTGTGTAAGTATACAACACAATACAGGTATCACAGAACATTGTGTAAGTACACAAGATGATACAGGTATCACCGAACATTGTGTAAGTACACAACACAATACAGATATGACAGGACATTGTGCAAGTACACAACATGATACAGATAGCACAGAACTTCGTGTAAGTTTGCAACTTGACATAAGTGTCTTCAAAATAACATTGTCTTACAGCTGTGTTTTGTATTAAAACGAAACAGAAACGCGGGTATCTTGATTATTCTTTATTTGAATGTTCATTTATCCGCATATATTTAAATGAAATACAAGTTGTTAGAATATGGTAAAACGTGCAGTATATTAAGATGACCGGCCACGTGCTTCCTCGTAGCCTTAGAAATTGTGTACAAAGATGCACGGTTCTATTAGAAATAAGTTTTGTGAAACAGTGTGTATCCAATGATATTTTAATAGATTATGTCGAATGTCCGTCCCAGAGGTGGAGCCACAACCCACTAGGTATTTGCAGTAAAGATAGTTTCAGCTATCTTTTCTTATTATTCCCATTAACCGTCATTTATTTTATAAATAATCATCATATCACGATATGTGTACATAATATTAAGCTATAGCTCCGAGTGTGGTGAGGTCTTATGAAACTAGTGATGCCTATAATTCTCTCAGTAACTATGGTTACCAGCAGTGTGATACTAGCTTCTACCGGGCTACCGTTAGAGATAACAGAAATATACTCTAATGCGATATCTCTTACTCCGACAGCCTTGCTCAAGGGTGATAAAATGCTTAAGTGCTAGGCTATACTAGTCTGATATGCATCAAAATATACTGGAGAGGAAAATCTGTGATGGCGAATTCATGGCTTATCAGCGCTGATCACACACTCAGCAAAAACAGGAAATTAATTCTAAGCCAAAACGCGTCATAACTCAACACGTTCTGATAAGGGAATACATTTATTATGCAGCCCGTTGCTTGTTGTTTTTTTTCAGAAGTGGGGGGAACTGATAAGACTTTATGCAGACTGCAGCATCAAAAGATTTATTGAGACATGGATTCGATCGGAAGGCAACGTCTTTGTCGACTTCTCTCTTTCTCTCGTCGCTTGAGCTGGCTCAGTCGTTGGGGTAGTAATAATGAAGTTCCTATGAGAATTCCCATTGATCAAGAACTCAACAAAAACAATCCCCTCTCTCTTCCTATTCTTTGCCGCTTATGGCTACTCAGCACCAATAGTTCACCTAATATTGACTTGGACTCCAAATTGATTAAGCTTTTTAAATAAAGACGTGTAGCATTTACCCACCCACTGTACTTTTTTGTGTTAACGTGCTTTTATTGTCTTTACGTTTCACTCTTTGTTGTTGATTACCGCTTAATTGTATATATGTGTGTATCGCCTATATCTATTTTCGTTACAGCTACTTTTTTTTTTAGCCGACAGAGATTTTACATAATACATACGTTTTCAACTGTGTTTCACCCATTTTTTATATATATTATGAGATTGAAACAACTGTCATAGGTTATCTGTACCTACAGAATGAAAATCTGTCGTCTCCAACTAAAATAATAACACAAATGTTATCGTGAAAAAAGAATGTTTTCGTGAGTTTTATATAAAACACAGATTTGTGAAAAAAAAAGTGGTCTTAATATCTTTCATAATGGGTATTTTGGAAAACGACTATTGTCGGAAATAACAAGAAACTGTTGGAAAAGAAATAGAATCGCTGATATTAAAACCGATAATTTATTTCTAACATTTTTCGGTAAAGTAAAATGAAGAGGTGTTAACAGAATACCGACTTTCCGTCGTGAGTGATGAAAAGGTATAAAAATTAATTTATGAAATGAACTTACAGGTTAGCCAATCGCAGTGGTAGATATATACTATTATTCGATACTTACAGGTTAGCCAATCGCAGTGGTCGATATATACTATTATTCGATACTTACAGGTTAGCCAATCGCAGTGGTCGATATATACTATTATTCGATACTTACAGGTTAGCCAATCGCAGTGGTCGATATATACTATTATTCGATACTTACAGGCTAGCCAATCGCAGTGGTCGATATATATACTATTATTCGATACTTACAGGTTAGCCAATCGCAGTGGTCGATATATATACTATTATTCGATACTTACAGGTTAGCCAATCGCAGT